AGTAATATATCAGGAAATGTGATGAATAGCAATATATTATATTGACAAAAATGAAAATAAATAAAAAGAGCTTAAAATTCTATTTTGATAGAGATCCTTCATGACTTTATATGATATCATTATGGGAACGGTATGATTGATTCTCTAAGGATACAGCTAGGCAACTGTATCTCTCTCATTTTTAAGACATATTTACTAAGAGTTTATTGTACAATCATATTTCTATTTGTTTCAAGGAATTATAAAATTATACATGGTCAAAGAAAGTCTATCGGGAACAATCATGTGCAGCTCCCTAAAATAAGTTTAAATCCTAAAATGAGCATGATTGAAATTGAATTATTTTGGGGACCAACCTCAAATTACAACCATAAACAAACGCATAGTAGTCCTTTTACATGTAGCCTAACAACCCTCTTTGTTGGACTTTGTCACTAAGTGTATTTTTATAAAGGTAACCAAGAAAATAACATAGGGTTTGCTTTAAATGACTACGTATTAACAATCATACCTCCTTATAGATTTTTATTTTAAATTTTATTTTTATTTGTTTATTCTTAGTGAAAGAGAGTGAGCAGGAGAGGGGCAGAAGGAGAGAGAGAGTGAAAGAATCCTAAGCAAGACCCATGCTCAGCATGAAGTCTGACATGGGACTAGATTCTGGGACCCTGAGATTATGACTGGAGCCAAAATCAAGAGTCGGATGCTAAACTGACTGAGCCACCCAGAAACCCTGTGATTTTTAAATGTAGAAGAAACATGTCAGTGATGAAGAGGGAAAATATTAACTGGCGATAGTACATTAAGGCACCATAGCAGTTTTATGTTGCCTTTTATGAATTTCAAAACCATTTGGACAGCTGGAGAAAAATAGAGATCTTTTCATAGTTAGGTTCTTAGGGTTTGCAAATATTGCATGGTAAGAAGTAACATGCTTCAAATCACCTATTCCAACCAAACACTGTCATAGAATATTTATCTAGGAACCCAATCTTGAAGAAGTCTGGGAAACATAGAAAATGTTGAGATTTAGAGACTATTATGCTTTATTTTCTCCTTGACTAAAAATAGTTCTTTTCTTATAACAACTGCCATCCAGTTACTTACACGAAGTCATCAGGGAGGTTGCATTAGCATCTGGGATTCTGAGATTCAAATGTGAGGTTGGTGTGTGTGTGTGTGTGTGTGTGTGTGTGTGTGTTTTCTGCATGGATAGATAATACTTCAAACTTTACATCTAGTCAAGTTGAATTTCTATTATTAAACCAGCATGGAGAAAACTGTCAGCTTCTCTACATAATTTAAAATTTCCAAAAGAAAATGTTACCGTGTGCACTGAATGTTAAATAGATTGTTACCTTATCAAGTGAGAGAGTCCAAAGATTTTCTCTTGTTTGTTTTATTTCTAACCCACTTTGATGTGGTGTCACAGATTGAAGCCCCCATGTTTCATAATGTATAGGTGATACATTACTGATTGTGCTGAAACTTCTTCCTTCAATTAAAAAACACCGGGGCGCCTGGGTGGCACCGTCGATTAAGTGTCTGAGTCTTGATTCCAACTCAGGTCATGATCTCACAGTCTATGAGTTCCAGCCCTGCATCAGGCTCTGCACTGACAGCAGGGAGCCTGCCCAGCAGTCTTTCTGTAGCTCTCTCTCCCTGCCCCTCCCTTGCTTGTGTTCTCTTTCTCTCTTTCTCTCTCTCTCCTCCTCTCTCTCTCACACACACACAAATTAAAAAACTTGTGAATTTTTTAAAATGGTTTTAGTGATAGTAAATTGGCGTAAACAGTCAGTGCTCTGGCATATTGTCCTCTTAGGTGTGTGCAGAGCGGGCTGGCAGAACTGATCACACAGGAGGGTTGTGATTGTTTCACAGCCACACACACTGGCTGTATATCTCTTGCTCCCTGGCCTCGAGCCCACTCTTGTATGAGGGTCTCCACCATCAGGCACATGGTCCCAGCTCCTCCACCTCCTCTTCCTTCCCCTTAATATGGATGCTGTGGCCGTGGCCACAGGACATGAGGGGTGAGGGTCCCTGTCTACAGTCAGTATAGTCCAGCAGTATATGCTGCCTTGGGGAATGAACGCAGAGACACCCACACAGTGTTTTCAAAATCTGCAGCGACTGACTGTTCAGGGGCTTTAGTTTGTCTCATTTTGTCCCCACGTTACTTCTCCCAGGCTTTTTTAAAAAATGTTTATTCATTTTTGAAAGAGACAGAGTGCGAGCCAGGATGGGGCGGAGGGGAGAGAGAGAGAGAGAGAGAGAGAGAGAGAGAGAGAGAGAGAGAGAGAGAGAGAGAGAGAATCTGAGTTGTCAGCACAGACTCCAATATGGGGCTGGAACCCATGAGCTGTGAGATCCTGACCTGAGCTGAAGTTGGATGCTTAACTGACTGAGACACCCAGGCGCCTTTGGCTTTTTAAATCAACCCCGCAGTGTTTGGTATCAAAAGTCTTTAAAAAATACTCTGGGTCTGGGGCGCCTGGGTGGCTTAGTCGGTTAAGCGTCCGACTTTCGCTTAGGTCATGATCTCGTGGTTCGTGGGTTCGAGCCCCGCGTCGGGCTCTGTGCTGACTGCCAGCTCAGAGCCTGGAGCCTGTTTCAGTCTGTGACTCCCTCTCTCTCTGACCCTCCCCTGCTCACGCTGTCTCTCTCTCTCTCTCTCCTAGAAATAAAAAAAAAAAAAAAATACTCTGGGTTTGTTTTGTTTGTTTTTAAGGTTGCCGACAGTTTTATTTTCACAAAGGAGACAGAGGACACTTTGAAATCTTCTATTAGGTGACACATAGGTGATAATCCCATGCTTAGGAATTGCAATTTATATATTTTGAAGCATATGTTTTGTTTTCATTACTGCCTTCTTTTTGAACAGTATTTCCTAATTTTTCAACAGGCTTAGGGTTCAGTTTCTCTGACCAGTTTCCATGAGTCCTGATAAAAGACAGGACTACAAGAGTACCCAGCTTTGGCATTCTTACCATGAAAAATACTTTGTCTTACTAGATATCTGGACACAAATCATCATTCAGTTTTGAATTTTCATAATTTAAGGGGCTCCTGGTGGCTCAGTGAGTTGAATGTCCGACTTCAGCTCAGATCATGATCTCACCGTTTGTGAGTCCGAGCCCCATGTCAGTCTGTGCTGACAGCTCGGAGCCTGGAGCCTGCTTCGGATTCTGTGTCTCCCTCTCTCTCTGACCGTCACCTGCTCACAGTCTCTCTTTCAAAATGAATAATAAAATAAGAGTTCATAATTTAAGAATCAAAGCATAGCAATATAGGAATACATGATTTTTTTTCCCCCTTTGGTCAGAAAGCACAATATCTTGGGTCAGGGATTACATTAAAAAGTAGGAAAATGTCAGCTTGGAAGTCTTTCAGGGAACTAACATTTTCACTAAGCCATTCCCCCAGTGGTGTCCCAGGTCTCCTACGTGCTGTTCAGAACTTCTCTCCTCTCTTCATCCTCTATTCTCTTTGACCAGCTGCAAGTCGGAGTGTGCCTTTTAAACCTGCCTGCCAGGAAAGCTGCCTTTATCATACCCACTACCATGTATTTATGGCTACCTCTTTCATCATAATCGTATTTTTTTTTCCTAAATCAGAAGTTGCAAACTACCACATTTTCTGTGCCTGATGCATATATTTTGTTTGGCCTATTTAATTCCTAGTTTAATTCTCTAAAATCTATGGGCAACCCTAGGACCAAGACCTTTCTTATAAAATGAGAATAATAGAAGATCGTATTCCATGATGACAAGAATTTGCTGAGCTGAGTCACAGCTGCTAGGTCACAGGATGCATGTGCTTCTCTGTTCACCCTCAAGGCCATCAGGCTTCACTCATTTACCTGCCCTGGTGGGTCCCTGTCCGGATTTGGATCCATACCCCCTGAAAACAGAAGTAAATGAGATTAACTCGTCTTTTTTTTTAATCTCTGAAACTCTTTCTCCATGAAAGAATCCCATTTAACAACTAAGAAGACATGTCTCTAAAAACAAAAAAAAAAAGTAAAAGCCTCTGCTTCTGTAGATGCACAGAGGTACGTTTATTGGCAAAATTCATTTACGCACTATTTCAATGTGCTGGTGAAGGAAATACAGTAATACAGGTGAGCACAAGAAGGTCTCCTGACCCTGACTGGGGGCAGAGAATGCTCTCTCGGGGGCGGTTTAGGGGCGGGTGATCCCTAATGAAGTCGAAATGTAGCTGATGAGTAGGATTCCAGCGAAAGCCTGAGGACTGGACGGTCTGGGTGTAGGAATGCACTCTCTGTGTGGGGGATGCCTCACAGGTCAGAGAAATAACAGCTGATCCCTGGTGGACTGCGGCGGTGGCAAAGCTCATTGAGGCCAAATGCCAAATCGTGGTCTTGGACGCCACGGGAAGTTTTGCTGTGATTTCATCCAAAATGAAAAGATACGATAATCTCGCCAGCACCTGCCCCACCGTGGCTCTCTGCAAGGACAGACTGAGCTCCAGCCCTCTCTGTCCTCTGCTGGACCTGGCGCCACTGTACCCAGCATCTCTTCCACAGACTTCCGCCCGCTTATCTTTCCATTGATGCCTTTGAACTGGTTTTGTTATTTTAATATAAAGTTGCTAACTCCTTCATACACTTTAAATTCCAGCTTGTTGATAACTTAATGCATCGAGGGTTGTTTTTTCTAAAGGGGAACAACAGATGCATTTTCTCTGCAGGGGCTAAGATGCTAATGGTCATAAATTGCCCCACATGTACTTTCCACTGAATTGGGGGCCTTCTATTTTCTACCCAGAGCAGGGACCATGGCGTTGGAAATTTCAGCCTTTACGAGAACTTCCATGTAAGGTGTGCAACTGCTGTTTTGAAACGCCTCGGGTCCGTGGCGGGGTAGAGCTGCCTGGCAGGTTCCTTTGTGTGACAAGAGGCGGGGTGTGTGCTGGGACCCTTCTGCTGTCCCCTGGATGAATGAGAAGTTACAGTGTGTCTCTCGTTTTATTTGCAGCTCACTCCCGTTGGCACCACGATATTTACAGGGTTTTCAGGGGACAATGGAGCTACAGACATAGATGATGGACCAAATGGACAGATAGAATACCTCATCCAGTACAATCCGGAGGACCCGGTATGTCGGCCCCCACTGCAGTGTGGCCTCCCTGAGGCATGAGTAGTGTCTACTGCACCTGGCACCTGTTTACTACCCTATCCCTAGCCCTTCCAGCCATGGTAGCGTCCTCCTGCTGTTAAAAATTATCTCAGGGGCGCCTGGGTGGCTCAGTCGGTTAAGCGTCCGACTTTTGCTTGGGTCATGGTCTCGCGGTTCGTGGGTTCGAGCCCCGCGTCGGGCTCTGTGCTGACTGCCAGCTCAGAGCCTGGAGCCTGTTTCAGTCTGTGACTCCCTCTCTCTCTGCCAGCTCAGAGCCTGGAGCCTGTTTCAGTCTGTGACGCCCTCTCTCTCTGACCCTCCCCTGCTCACACTGTCTCTCTCTCTCTCTCTCCTAGAAATAAATAAAACATTAAAAAAAATTAAAAAAAATTATCTCACAATTACAGTCTTTTACCTATTTGTGCTATACTTGTAAAACTTTTAAAAAGTTTTTGATGAGTCTTGGAGGTTACAATTTAAAATTATTTATAGGTGTAATATTCCATTTTCACCTCATTTCTGTTATGTGTGCAGACTCCTAAGCATCGTACATAAATCACTGGGAATGACATCACCAGGGTGATGCATAAGCTTCGTGGATCTTGTGAAGTGATGTCACTGCCCCTCCTCCACCAGCAAAGCCTCTGGAAGAGAAGGGACAAAGCTGCTTTTTTTTTTTTTTTTAATATTTATTTTTGAGAGAGAGAGAGAGAGAAAGAGCATGAGTGGGTGAGGGGCAGAGAGAGAGAAGGAGACACAGAATCTGAAGCAGGCTCCAGGCTCTGAGCTGTCAGCACAGAGTCGGACATGGGGTTGCAACCCAGGAACCATGAGATCACGACCTGAGTCAAAGTCTGACGTTTAACCATCTGAGCCACCCATGCGCCCCAAATTTGTTTTGTTTAAAGATTATTTATGTTTTCATTAGACCATGTTACTCTCACCATGATCTCTCACCATATTATGTGAGAGAGCACTGATAAAGGCAGAGGTGTGTTGTGCAGCCTGAGCCCGGCTAGCAGGACCCGCCCTCCATCTGCCTCCTCCTCGCTCCCAGGCTGGTTGTCAGGGCATCATGGCTGCCCCCCAGCACGTCTGAGGTGAATTTTCTCAATGAATGCTTATCCTTTATGTTTAATATCAGGGAAATAAAAGGTGGTGAAGTGAGCTGGACGGTTTTGGTGTGTTTATTTGTCCCATCCCCTAACATGTGTCTCTCCACATGTTTGTAGGCAGTGGTTCAGAGAGGTGGGGAAATACTCAGAAGGTGAGATGCAGAAGAGAAGGACAGTTACTAGGAAGATGTGCACAAAAAATCGATTGGAAGAGATCAAAGGAACTGAGGGAAAAAGAAAAGAGAAATGCTTTTCCTTAAAAGCAGAAACAGACAGCTGACTTCACGTCCCATGTTTGAACAATTTGTCTTTCTTACTATTTAGGTTTTTGAAGGAATTACTTGTATGTGTGCGCCATGTTTCTAACTTACATTTTATGGAGGCCATTTCCTAACTTGTACTCTTCCAGCAAGTATGGAACAGCCAGGCCATGGACTTTAGGGAAATGGCTATCACATTGCATTAAAAACAAACCTATCCTAGGGCACATGGGTGGCTCAGTTGGTTAAGCGTCCAACTTCAGCTCAGATCACGATCTCATGGCTCTTGGGTTCAAGCCCCAGGCTGGGCTTTGTACTGACAGCTCAGTCTGGAGCCTCCTTTGGATTTTGTGTCTCCCTTTCTCTGCCCCTACCCCACTTGTACTCTGCCTCTCTCTGTCTCTGGCAAAAACAAACATTAAAAAAAAAAGAAAAAGTCTCCAAGAGGTAGATATAGTGTGAGACAAAAATACATTACATAGGACCTATCTGCTAGAAGTTATGTGAGGCTGAAATTCCTTGTTGTCATGCAGTAATTCCTTCTGCATGCTTCTCCCCTTTCCGGGATGTGTGGGCTCACTGTCAAACATAATATGTACCTTTTACTACCTATAGATTGGATAAACCAGTCAGCCCCATGCAGTGTCCAAATTAGAGAAGAACAACGTACTGAAGCAAGCTAGTACTGCCGTGGAGTCATTAAGACATCCTCTGGACACAGGCCTAATTCAGTGAGACAAAAGACTAAGCTACCATGAACGCACTTACCTTGGGTTATCAGGGGAGAGAGCATTAACCCAGTCACATCCTTATAGAGAGAACCCAGCTTTAGACATGGCAGAAGCTTAGGGTAAACCTCAGCTACCTACCAATGTTCGTATCCACCACTTCCCGTCACCAGTAACTCTGTTTCCAGGAATCGCACCTCTCCTGATTTCTCAATTTGAAAACAACATTGTATTACAAATATATTTAACCTGAAAAGGTAGCACCTCTGGCTTTTGTAGCCACAAGTACGGTTTTTATCACCCTAGTCCCACAGGGTATGGTGGATGGTGAAACTGTACAACAGTTTGTTCTAACACTGTCCAATGTGTCCATTGTTCTATTTCTTTTTTTCTTTTTTTTCCAGCTAGTATAATCCTCGGGTCTAAATTTTCTACATTTTTAGAGTTTGCATTTCTTGCTGAGATTTCTCTTAGTTTCCCTTGTAGTGAGCATATCATTTTTACGTCTCTGAACATAGACATGGTTAAAATAGCTGCTTTAAAGTCTGTGTGAACTTGTCCTAACATTGGCCTTTCCTGATTTTCTCTCCTTTTGAAATGGGATCACATTTTCCAGTTCATCATTGGTCAAGTTGTTTTGAACCCTCTCCTGGACATCGTGAATGTGATGTTCTGGAGAGACTTTTAATTCTATCATATTCCTCTGAATAGTTTTTTGTTTGTTTTTAATCTACTAGAGAACATGGTTGGACTTAAGTTGAATAATCTTGGGTGTAATTCGAATCTGAATTCAGTGTACATTTTTCCCGAGCCCATCTTGTAGTCTCCGTCATGCAGTGTGGGATGGAGTTCATCTACAGACCTGGACACCATTTATAAGTGGAATTTTGTCCTCTCTCTTCCTGGCTTTCTCCTTTCGGATACCCCCTCCCCTCTCCTTCCATCAGCCTTGGTTGTCCCCAAATCTATCCCCTGATTCTTCAGGCCAGATAGACTTTTGGTCAGAGTTTTAATTGTCCCTTGAGCTATTCACTACCATAAAACAGCACACTCACCCATGTTGTCTTTTCCTTCAAGTATGTGACATCTCCAGAGTGTGTCTGCTTTGGTTAACTCTTGAGGGGTGTCTGGTGTCCTTTGTCTTTTATATTTTGTCCAGAGTTTCTAAATGTTGTTGTGGAAAGACTGAGTCAAGTAGGAGATAACCCTACAGAAACAGAACAATTAAAGCCTAATAAGGTCCTTTCTTCAGTATACATTTAGAATTCTAGTGCACGTACTCATTTTTCTTTCTGAACCATTCTGGCCTTCCCAAATACCAGGCAACAGCAACGATGGTATAATCATTTCAAAGGTTTAACAACAATGCAAGAACGAATGTGCATCCATTTCCTTGATGGCTGTGGACCTTCATTGACGAGTTGCCGGCTGTTTGCCCCTGGTCCTAGTTTATAACCAGAAACTGTGGAATTCCATGTCTCTGTCAAAATGTTTCCTCTTTAAGAAAGGGAGAATTGGAGGAATTATTGCAAACCAAAGACAGCTGCTTTGTCTGTTTACCTCTGTATTTTAAGAAAGAGGATAATTCTAATACAGGAACATATGTGAATATATCCTCATGTCTCTGTGTTCCTAAATATTAGAGAAATAACAACTATAATATCACTTGAAATTATTATATTGAAGACTCAGTAACCATCGCAGATACCAGTTACCCTTGCTATATATCACCATTGAGCCCTTAAGTCTAAGGAATTAGCCTAAAGTGTTAGTTACCTACTATTGTGTACCAAACCATCCCAAACTTAGTGTCTTAAAATGACACATAGTGATGTTTGGCCAGTTTCTGTGACTTAGGAGTCCAACCTCAGCTAAGTGGGGCTCTCTGCTTCGGCTCTCACAAGGTTGCCATCTAGGTGTTGAGTATATTGGTTCTCTGGTGGAAGCTCAACTAGGGAAGAACCTCTTTCCAGGTAAACTCGGGCTGCTGTCAGAAAATGTTTCTCTGTGGTTGTAAGACAGGGACCCTTGGCATCGTGGTGGCTGTTGACTAAAAGCTACTCCCAGCTCTAAGAGACCACGCTTCATTCCTTGGCTGTTTACCCTATGACTTCTGTAAGGAGAGTGGCTTGACCCTGTCTGTTTGCAGCATGGAGTCTTATGTGTCACATTGCGGCCACAAGGGTGACAGCTCATCACTTAGGCTGTATCCTGCTGATTACAAGCACGTCACAGACTCTGTTCCCACTCCAGAGGGAGGGAGTACACAAAGGCATGGGATCCCCATCAGGAAGTGGGGAAAGAGAGGGCTCCCATAGGAATCTGTCGGCCATACCTACTGTTATGTCATCATTTTTGAATCTCCTACAAACGTCTACTTTGGAAAGTGTTTGTTTTTTTTACAAAATATAGAGGAGATAAAGGTTCTAGTTTGGCTTTAATACAGGGTAAACCCTTTAAATACAGGTTAATAAGGTCACCTGCCTTATTAACATCTTCCTTTTTTATGTTTTTATTTTATTTTTGAGAGAGAGGCAGAGAAAGAGGAAGACACAGAATCTGAAGGAGGCTTCAGGCTCTGAGCTGTCAGCACAGAGCCCAACATGGGGTTCAAAGTTGTGAACCATGAGAGCATGACCTCAGCTGAAGTTGGACACTTAACTGACTGAGCCACACAGGCACCCCTACATCTTTCTTAACCTACCTATATTTTCTTTATGGTGTGAATGAACATTTATACTAGATGTGGAATAAATAATCAGGCATTTTTACTATCCAAAATCATAAAATTTTAATTGCCAACATTGCAAATTCTTTTATTTAATGCATAAGCAAAATCAGAGTAAAATTGAGCTTTCTTCTTTTTTTATCTTCATTTTTTCTTTTTTTACCATCATTGTCATTGAATTTATCTAAAATAAATAAGGAATTGGGGCACCTGGGTGGCTCACTGGGTCAAGTGTCTGACTCTTGATTTCAACTCAGGTTATAATCTCACGGTTCGTGGAATTGAGCCCCATGTCAGGCTCTGCACTAGCATGGAGACTGCTGGGGTCTCTCTCTCTCTCTCTCTCTCTCTCTCTTCCTCTTCCCCTCTCTTCACTTTCTCTCCTTCTCTCTCAAAATAAATAAAATAATACAATACAATACAACACAACAAATACGGAGCAAATTTAGGGATGAATAGCTACTCAGCTGATTGGCCAGATTTAAAGCAAAAGCATTTGTACTGGTTTCCAAAATGTCCTTTGTTCTTTCTCCCCTTGGATGTTTGTCAGGAATGCACTTTCTTTTGGTTGGGAGAATGACCTGTTCTGGCTAATGATGTGTGAGCTCACAGAACCAAGCACAAGTCACCATCCCCCTCCTCCTCCCTTCCTTCCCTGATGACGACGTTGATTATGTAGAGAGCCCAAATTGTGATGCTTGAGCTCTTAGCTGAAAAAACATGGTGGTAAAAAGAGATTTTCAGATACCCGAACTTTGGTTGAGAAGTAGCCCCAGGCTATTAATTTGTAGTCCTAAAAATACATTAAAAACGGCCATAGGTGACAGGTTTCTGGGTTATTATCAGATGACTCTGATAAAACCCACTGATCAAAATGGAAAGTTTTTAGACATGATGAGAAGCTTAGAGGCAATATTCCATTTTCAGATAATAAACCTGCTAATTGTAACTTTGGGAGGGACTCAGCTACACTACTGCATCTTCTAACTCATCTTCTATTCAAATGAGTTGATTCTGTCTCTTTCCTTATTTGCAGACATCCAATGACACCTTTGAGATCCCCCTCATGTTGACTGGAAACGTAGTATTAAGGAAGAGGCTCAACTATGAAGATAAGACTCGGTACTTTGTCATCATCCAGGCTAACGTGAGTACTCAGTTCCCCTCGCTGCCCTCCTGGGAGCTTAGGAAGTAAAGGACTCTCCTAAGAGTGCTCGGTGTAATTTATGGCCTCAACAGGGTAGGCTGCCCACAGCATAATTTATATATTCTGTTCTTCTAGATGGGGAATAGGATGAATGAAACAGGAGGATTCTTTCCACGCACTGTTTCCTTCACTCTCTGAATCATTCATACCCGCCCTTCAGTAATTTGCCGTTAGCTCACACTGGGGTGCTTCTCAAAATGTGGTACAAAGTGTGGTACAACATGTGACCTGCAGCGGCCTCACCTCAGGCTGTATTAAACATGCAGATTCCCGGGCCCAACATCAGGCCCTCTGCTTAGAATTTTCAAAGGGTGGAAGTAGAATACCTGAACGTTCCACTCCCCCCGGGACCCCCAAGTACACTAAAGGAAGAGAAAAACTGTGCAGGTGGCAATCTTTCCCCCTTGGCTGTCATTGGAAGTTCCTTGCGCTCTCCCTCACTAGATGTCAGCCACCATGACGGTGACCAGGATGTAGGCACAGCAGGCAGGGAAAACCTGAACAACAGTTGCTTATGTAACACGGACTTCTGTTGTTATTTTAATAAAATCTCTAGATGTAACACATGAAACGATGCTCAGCATCCCTCCTCATCAGGGAAATACAAATCAAAACCACACTGAGATACCACCTCACGCCAGTCAGAGTGGCTAAAATGAGCAAATCAGAGAACTCTAGATGCTGGCGAGGATGTGGAGAAACGGGCACCCTCCTACACTGTTGGTGGGAATGTAAACTGGTACAGCCCCTCTGGAAAACAGTGTGGAGGTTCCTCAGGAAACTAACAATAGAACTCCCTTATGACCCAGCAATAGCATTGCTAGGAATTTACCCAAGGGATACAGAAATGCTGAGGCATAGGAGCACATGTACCCCAATGTTCATAGCAGCACTCTCCACAATAGCTAAAACATGGAAAGAGCCTAAGTGTCCATCTACAGATGAATGGATCAAGAAGATGTGGTTTATCTATACCATGGAATACTACATGGCAATGAGAAACAATGAAATCTGGCCATGTGTAGCAACATGGATGGACCTTGAGGGTGTTATGCTGAGCGAAATAAGTCAGGCAGAGAAGGACAAATATCATATGTTTGCACGTATAGGAGGATTAGGAGGAACTTGACGGAGGAACAAACGGGAGAAGAAGGGCGGAAATGGTGGGGGAAAGGGAGAGAGGCAAACCATGAGAGACTCTTGAATGCTGACAAAAACTGAGGACTGATGGATGGGGGGGGGGGGGGGGGATGGGCCTGGAGGAGGGCACTTTGGGGATGAGCACTGAGTGTTATGTAGAAACTAATTTGACAATAAACTATTTGTAAAAAAAAATAAATAAATAAAAAACACTTTTAAAAAAGGGAAAAAAATAAAATAAAATAAAATCTCTAGATGTATGTGGATCAGGTGTTGGTCTGACAGCTCAGGTAGATCACCAAGGACTCGGGTTTCTTCTGCCTTTACACTCTGCCCCTATCCTGAAACGTGACCATTTTCCCAACCCCCCATTCGCCAGGTTCTAGTGAACATCACAGCTGTAAGCCTCGCAGCTGCATTTCTGGCCTGACCTGCAGCAGGTGGAAAGGACTCTTCTTGTTTGTTGGTCCTCCTTTTTCTGTGAGGAAAGTCCTTGCCAGAGTCCTCTCCCTTCCAACATCCCTTTCCAGTCCAGGATCATAAGAGTCAGCAGAGAGAGGAGGCTGAGGAAATCTGTATGTAGCAAAGGGTGGTGAAGTAATCACCTCTGCATTACACCAAGTTCTGTGCATCACCTGAAGCTGGACCTACTGATAACCTGGGGCGGGGGAGAAGGGAGAGGAGGGGGAGGAGGAGAGGAATTTGATATCAAGAAGAAGGGAGCTAGTATTTCAGCAAAAATCTGACAAGGCTGGCTACAGATAGTTCCAATATTGAAAAAGTCCACAGCAAGTGACAAAACTGTGTTCTGAATAGGTTGTTAGACCCTGAAGCCAGCCTGTGCCTTAAACTGTTCATAAGCATTGTCACCCTATTCCTAAAGCAGAGCAGGAAGACAGCTGAGAGTGGAAAAAATAAAGCATCTTCGATCAGCTGTTCTGAACAAGTTCATATGAGATAAGGTGTCACTAAATGGCCATTTTTGAGCTAGAGAGATTTTGCTGGAAGGGGGGGGTTTGTCTGTGTCTATTTATATATACATTTATTGTGTATTTACATTAATATTTTATATATTATATATAAATATATTTGATTATATAAAAGTATATTTGTATATAATATATAACAATTTAATTTGCCTGTTGTATATAGTAGGTAGATACAAGATACAGATGTATAGATAGAAATATAATTTTTGGAGCCACATTTCTAGATATTTGTTCAAAATTCTCAAGTCCGTGTCTTGTGTCCGTGTCCCGTGTCCGTGTCCAAGGGCAGAGATTAGAATGAAAATAGCAGATATGGGAGAAAGTAATATTGGGTATTGGGAAGAACCTCTTAGAGCTCCTCAAAACTCTGAAATATTTTTTAAAATATTGTTTCTGTACAGTTAAATGGGAAGAAAAAAAGTGGTTTCCCTTGCTTGACTCCAGATTTCTAATAAAATTTAAGGAAAAGTAAAATTGCTTTGGAATGTATCAAGGTTACTTTTTCTTGTGCTATTTAAAATGAACTATTTTTTAAAAAGAAGTGCCAGCTAAAAGATATGAATTGATGTTTAATTTAAAACATTTCTAAAGACATCTGGAACAATTTATATGCAATTTGCTAGACTGCCCACAACTGAGGGAGAGAGAGTGGTAAGTGTTTAGCATTTCAGGGAAAAAATGATGAAATAGAGGGATATGCATGAATCAGCAAAAGAAAGGAATGGAATTGGCAAGAAGTGAAAGAAAAGGTTAATGTATCTGTAACAATTTCTATTATAAATTTAAATCATACACTATAAAATGGGAATATTAAATATTTGAGATTATAAGCTTCTTGGTGTTTTTAAAAGCTTTCAGGGCTGTATCCTTTTAATAGTTTTATTTATTTTTAAATGTTTATTTATTTTGAGAAAGCAAGTGGGAGAGTGGGAGAGAGAGAATCCCGAGCAGGCTCCACACCATTAGCCCAGAACCCGACACAGGGCTCAACCCCGTGAACCATAAGATCATAACCTGAGCCAAAGTCAAGAGTCAGTTGCGTAACCAACTGAGCTACCCAGAGGCCACCCCAAAACAGATAATTTAAAAATAGAATCACTATGGGAAAACATTATATATATATCTGTTTGTGTAGGCATTTATTTTTTATCTTAGTAAATACTGTCATATTATTATCCAAAATATTACAGCACATCACTTTCCAACAAGATAAAAAAGGACACACGGTCTCTACTTTTTCGATACATAATTTACTTAAAGAAGTGAATTTTTGGAGCTGAAAAGCTGACTCCTACTTGCTTGAGACCTCTTGTGGGCTCTCTTCCCTACTCTGAGTTCAGTGACGTCACCTTTGTGGCCACTCTGAGTGTGTACAATGACAAATGCTACAAATCAGGACTTCTTGTCTCTGAGAGATGGTTGTTAAGCATTTACTGCTTTGTGAGCACCCATGTCTGTGTCAGGGAAAAAGAATCCTGTCCCCTTCAAGGTCCCTCTGGCTGGACTATGAATCCAGTGGGCATGAGACAGAGTAACAGGAGAAACTCAGTGTTAATAGGTGTATGTGTGGGGAATCCACATAGACATTCCAAAGACAGGCACGATGGGAGATGTATGTCATTGTTAACTAAGGAGAAGGGGGTGGGGATCTGGGATTGTAAAAAAAATAATGCAGTTCACAGGGTGACAAGAAAAGCAGAGATTTGCTCATTGGCTGCTGTACCATACAGAGGACTCACTCAGGTAATATTGACCCCCCAGTAACCCATATTCTGTGAAGGAGCACCGCTGAGATTTTCCTCTGTGGCTAAGGGAGGGACAAAGTTTCTCTTGAGATGTAGGGTCTCAGGTGCCTTCCGTTCACAATAATCCACATGTCCAAGTGGCGCATTCTGGGAGGGACCTTTCTGGAACCCCTTCATCTATATAATTTACATTTTTATATTTATATGGGATCATGGAATCCACAGGCCATTACATATTTCTCGATATATTTTTATATCCTTCAGTGTTTTTTTATTAGCATTTTGTCAATGCTACGTAAACCCGTGTACAGTGTAGTTCATGTACATTCAAAACCTACATTGTTCTCTTGGAGTCCTAAAGAGAGTTGAAATGTGAGCAGTCAGTTGTGATTTTAAAGTAGAGGGTATCTAAGAGGATGGAGCTCTGATGTTCTATTACTGAAATTATTCATCTTTGACCTGGCATTGCTTATGGTGCAAAGATTTGACTGATGTACAAAGGAAACTATTCTAATTTCATGTAATTAGGAAGTTTATTTTTATCCCTGTGGACACGTTGGAATTATTTTTGAGAGAGAGAGAAAGCATGCAAATGGAGGAAGGGCAGAGAGAGAGGGAGACACAGGATCCAAAGCAGGCTCCAGGCTCTGAGCTGTCAGCACAGAGCCCAGTGTAGGGCTGGAACTCACGAACTGTGAGATCATGACCTGAGCTGAAGTAAGATGCTTAATGGACTGAGCCACTCGGGTGCCCCCACATGTTGGGATTCTTAAATAAGCTGGAAGAATTTTGGTCAACAAAATTAAGAAAACTTGCCACTGGTTTAGTTGAGAATATTTGCAAAATTATTACCCACAGTTTAGTTATGAATATGCAATGAGGGAATGATTGATTAATTCCAGAAAAGAGAAGGAAAAGAAATCTAGAAAATGAAGTTCAGAGATGTACAAAGATCACTGGATTTTCTTTCTGTTGAAATACATACTCTGTACCCCAAACTCAAATTTTGATATGTTTCCCTAAATCACAAACAAATCACACTTCTCTCTTTATACATGGATATTAT